GAAATTAGATTTTTTTTTATTATTGGAAAGTTAGTGTTTTATATCTTTGGTAAGATCGTTATTCACAGAAAAAACAGAAGTATTTCCAAGGTTTTTATAGGACTTTTTGTCTCTTTCTGAATACAGAGCACAAACTCCAGTAACCACCGTACCTGTAGCCCTTTTCTCCAAATGTCCTACTCCCCATGACTTTGGCCGCGTGGTGTTGCTAATGTGCAGTAATGGTCTAGCTGGAAAGGCATTTATGTTCCATTTCCCCCCAATATTATTAAAACTGCTCCATCACCTCCTGTAATGTGGGCCTCCGTATTTTCTCTTGCCTGTATCCCTGACATGACATAATGCCTGCCCTCACCAGTATGCTATAACATAGAGGTAATTGAAACATAACTCACCCTAAATTACAGTCAATGTTCAGGCAGGGCCCCAGTGAGCTTCCTGAGGCTCATTACAAGTATAAGCTAAATATTTCTTTAAGGGGAAGGAGGGAGATCTAAAGCTTAAAAAGAAAAGGAGGGGGGTGCAGAAGAAGAGAGAGGGAGGAAGGCAGGAATGGGGGAAAGAAGTCAATTAAAAATAAACAAGGATGAGGCAAGGCTCTTGAAAGAAAGATGCCCCCTTCCTTACAGTTTTAGGTGAGCCCCCTATTCTGCTGAGACCAGTAACAACCTGTTTCCATTATTAGCTGAATGGCTATTTCCTGCACTACTTGAATTTGTAAGTTTCCATTCAGTTGCCAGGAAGCATAGGTGCACATAATTGCATTTCCTGGCCCAGCGACTCCTGGGTTAGCTGTATTTACTCCTGGAAGAGGCCATGAAAAACGAAGTAGGAGCTGACTTCCTAAGACAGAATGGCACATTATGAAAGACAGTGTTTCCTCTCTAATTCTTTCAGTTATCAAAATCTGACAGGCCACTCTCCTGAGACTCTTGGGAGTAAAGATGTCAAAGTTCAAATGCTGCTAGCTTTGAGTGAGACTCCTCTTTTTAAATACGATCCTCTTCAATCTCATTAGGAAAACAGGAATAATTGTGCTAATCCAGTGTAAATTTCATGGGCTTCAGAGCTGAATGGCTTTCATGTGACTGAGTTAGTTCCATTTTTCCCTTTCACACATGGGAGGGCCCTTATAAACCCCTTTGTTATCCTTCTTGAGTTCCCCTTCCCTTCTGGGTGACTGTTTGATTCCCCTCATTTGAGTTGTCCTACCACTGAAGGCCTAGAAGCTCATCTCCAATACTGCAACCCTTTCCCAGATGATTGGCTTCTCCCTGCCAGTCCCAGGCCTAGGGCAGTGTTTTGAGGGGTTGAGCAAAGCTGGTGGGTGAGGGGCAGAGAATAGTTGCCCATCAAGACCCTGTGCTTCTGGAGGTTGGTCACTTGGTTGTGCTCTCTGCACTTCAATAGTAGTTTATAAATATATCCTACATGAATTGGCCTAAGTAAGGAACAGAGCCAGTGTATTCCTTTCTACACCTGCCTGCACCATTTGAGATGGCCAGTGTTCTGGAAGAGGCAAACGCTGTGCAGTCCATCCACGAAGGTAATGCAGAGACCCCTGCCCTTACCTAAGGGCTCAAACTGGCCTTTAAACAACAACAAACTTGATCTCAGTGTTCTTCATCAGCTTCCCACCACCATCCATAGTTTTTGTGGCTCTCTCCTTCAAGGTGAGAGGAAACCAAGGTCTTCATTCAGAATTCAAGATTATTTTACATCTTTCCCATTTCAGGGCCTAAGAAGAGTCATAGAATTATAGTCCTCATGACACTTAGGGATTATCTGTTCTGATCCTCTCATTTTATACATGGTTGGTCTGAGGTCTAGGGGTAGGAAAGAGCCTACTCAAAGTATATACGGTTAATCAGTGGTAAGTGTGAGTAGAAAGTACATTCCTGTTTCTCAGTTCTATGTTCTTTACACTGAACTGCCTTTAATTTTACATCCTGTTCTTAAAGGTAGAATTTTAGGTAGCTATCAAATTGAAAATGATCTGTTGTCACATCCATAATGAAATGTTAATGACTGATAATATCTTAATGCATTTGCCTTCTTTTAAGAGTTTGCCATTCAACCAGTACCTAGAAATAATAAAGAAAATTGAATTTCTGAAGATAGTATGTAAATACACTCAGAGTGAAAGAACTTTTGGGCAGCCATAATTGAAATTGTATCGTGTTATGCAACCACCTTCTTCCCTTAGATTTTAATGCTGGGTTTATTTGCGTATGTCGGCCAGTTGATATGGATTTATGTCACAGGGTTTACATTAGTGTGGGAAGGGACCTAAGAACTCATCTACTGCAGACCGTTCTTTTCTTGGCCGTGTTATCCAGTGGTACTCAGCTTGTTATTTGCATGGCCAGAACTTATACCGAAGAGGGCTGACTTTTTTGCAGAGTGGTTAAGTTACCTGAATCTGGTGATAAAATGATTTAAACAAAGGCATGCATTAGAATCACTTGGATAATCTGGAAAACCTTTAAAAGATACATATACCTGTGTATCCCATCTCCCTCAGACCTACTTCTGATTGTATAGGCTTAGAGAAGATAGCTAGCAGCTATACTTTTTTTTTAAGATTAGCATACAATTTATATACAGTAAAGTGTGTAAATCTTGAAATTCAAGTCATGATTTTTTTATGCACACACGTAGGTACATACATATGTGTACCTGTGTAACCACTAAGATTAAGATTAAATCAGGATTTCTAGATCCCAGAAAACCTCTCTGTGATCCCTGTCAGTCAATAATCCCACCTCTTCCAAGGATAACTTACTTCTTTCACTGGAGGTTATCTTGTCTGTCTTAAAACTTTATATAAATGCACTCATATAATGAGTGCTCTTTTGTGTCTGACATTTTCCCCTCAACAATAGATCTGTGAAATTCAACTATGTTGTTTAGTGTATCAGTAGTTCTTTTGCATTGTTATGTAGTATTTTATTTTATGACTGTGTCATAATTTGTTTACCTATTCTACTGTTGATGAACACTTAGGTTATTTATAGTTTAGTTATGACTACAGCTATTACAAACATTCTCATACATATTTTTTGATGGATATCAAAAGCGATATCACTTGCATCTGTTGGTTATATATCTATAAGTGGAACTATAAGTGCCGTATCATTAGGGTATATTCATGTTTAACTTTCAAAGATATTGGAGATGAGTTTTTCAAAGTGATTCTAGCATCTAACATTACTATAGCAATGGAAGAGAGTCCCTGTTTTCCTATATTATCATCAACCCTTGGTATTTGTCAGATTTTTCAATGTTAGTCATTCAAGTAGGTATACAGTGACTTTATTTTGCTTTTTTCTGATGATTAAGGATGAACATCTTTCCAAATGCTTATTGTCCGGATCTAACTTTTTTATATATGTATTAGAAATATCTTTTTCTAACTTGTGGCCTAGCTTTCTACTCTATTCATAGTATCTTTTGATGAACAGAGGATCTTAATTATCATAAAGTCCAATTTGTTGTTCTTTTCTTTATTGATCAGTATATTTTGAGTCTTGCTTATGAAATCTATTCAGTGGTCACACGTATAGTCTTCTATGTTTTCTTTTAGAAGCTTGATTATTTTTAGCTATCACATTTAGATCTCTGATCCATCTCAAAATTCTTTCTGCACATGGTACCACCTATAACGGCTAAAAGATGTCCAATTAATTTTAATTCCCAATCCTGATTTAGAATCAATGGAAGTAAAAAGATTCAGAGTCATGTTTGGGTTCAAATCCCATTGTGTCATTTAACAGTTGAGTAAAATTTTCTAAGTCTCTTTCCTTATATTAAAAACATGGAGAATAAGGTTTTGAAGATATTAAATGTAGTAATAATTTAAGGAGACTGATCCAGAGGAGAGACTCATGAAGTCATAGCTCTTTTCATTTACATCCTTTACAAGGATGGGTAAGTTAGGCCATTTAATATAAGATGCAACTCTTATAACTATTTAGGCATTGTTTTCTTTGCTTCACTCTTCATTAATTGATACACACCTACAGGTCATTCTGAGTGATTAGTAGATTATTCTAAAGGTTTGACTTAGGTAAGATTTTTAGAGGTAAGATGGCTACTTTTAGACTAATAGCTTATAGAATTCAAATAAAGAAACTAGAAATTCATGGGAGAACAAAGGGTGATAAAAAAATTCATAGCATTTGGCTTGAAAACATCCTGTCATTTCAAAATTCAAATGGGAAGAATTCATAGTAAAGAGAAAAATATTCTGGATTTAACAGGTAATAAATCCTACTTTTCTATTTTGGGAAAATTCACATAAATTGCCTGGATGATCATCTGCTTTGTATTGTTGAAGGCACTTTGCTCTGCCCCACAGGGGAGTATCACAGTATGTGCGTGTAGTTTTAGATACACATTCTCTCTTCTCTTGTCTTTCTATCCTGCACCAAACTCAATTCTGCTGACAGGGTTGAGGCAGTCCAGTGAATTCGTGTGCATGCCTTCACCTTACCTGATTGTCTCGGTTTCTCATCTTTAGGTCAGAGTGCCTAGGAAATTTGATTTGAACTGATAGGTTCCATTAATGATATAATGTTTATAGAAGAGGTTTATATATCTCTAAAATAAGACCTGTGTATGTCTAACCTTTCCCTAACCTCCCCAAGGAATTGCTAATTTGGTCTCTTAAACCAAAGAGAGAGTTGACTGGATTCATCTGAAAACTAACCTTGAGACAAAAGTTAGGTTTCTCAGTTCATTTGGGAGATGATCCACAGAAACAGAAATGTGGGTGGGAAAAAGAGAGTCAGGAAGAGGGAAATGCTGATAAAGTATGCATTCTGTTGCTGAGGTGTTATGGGCTGAATTGCGCCCTCACCCCAAACTCATATGTCTAAGTCCTAACTTCTGGTACCTCAGAAAGTGACTGCTTTGCAGACAGAACCATTGAAGAGGTAGTTAAGATAAAACAAGGTCTGTGGGTGGGCCCTAACCTAATGTAACTTGTGTTTTTATAGGAAGAGATTAGGGCATAGATATGTTCATGCACAGAGGAAAGACCACATGAGGACACAGAGGGAAGTTGGCCATCTACAAACCAAGGACAGAGGCCTCAGAAGAAACCAAGCCGGCTTACACCTTGGTTTTGGACTTCCAACTCCAGAACTTTGAGAAGAAAAAATTTTAAGCCACTCAGTTTATGGTATTTTTTTACTACAGCTCCAGCATACTACTATGTGGAGACAAAAGCTCAGTCCTGCTGGGTTGCTGCTTAATTACCGGCATAAGGTAAAACTTGTCTCATGGTTGTCCCACCAGAGGATGGAAAGATTCGACTATCTATGTACGAACTCATCCTTTATGGGGGCAGTTTGCTATGTGGGACATTAAACTTCCTTACACTTCCAAGTTGCAATTTCATATGGCTGAGTGATTTGCACTTGATATGGGATACTGGCTATGGGCCTGAGCCTTACCAGAACTGGCTTGAAATCAGATGGGCCCCAGGGATGTGGTATATCATGAGTATCTGAAAGATCCCAAGTTTTTTTTCTTTTTTAAAAAGTTTATTTATTTTGAGAGAGAGAGAGAATGCTTGTGCATGTATGCATGGGGGAGGGGCAGAGAGAGAGAATCCTAAGCAGGCTCTGGGGTGTCAGTGCAGAGCCCAACATGGGGCTTGGTCCCATGAACTGTGAAATAATGACCTGAGTCAAAATCGAGAGATGGCTTCTTAACCAACTGAGCCACCCAGGTGCCCCAAGGTACACCCTTAGTTTTTCTACATGGTGATGCAGCCCACTAGTTAATGTGGAGAATTAAATTACTGTGCTCAAAGTTTGGCCTCTCAGGAAAGCAGCTTATATTTTTTCCCTTTTCTTTGGCTTTTTCTGTTGTCTTGCTGCAGGGTGAGTTTTCTAGGAAGTAAATATGGAAATGTCATTTAGGACACAAGAATTTGTGAATAACACTTGTAGGAAAAGAAGGGAATCTCACCTGGCCAGAGGGAAACACAGGTTCCTGATATAGTCATGAACATCAGAGGGACCTCAGGCTGAGAGTGGTCTGCAGAGGTGTCTTGAGTCGGGAAGAAGAGGAGGAATTTTGTATTCCTACAAGAATCAGATGTTGGAGGCAGCCTTCCCCTGGGAGTCATGATAATTGAGCAAGCAGCTCTCATCAGCCAAGGGGAATTCCTGGAGAAGGCTGACAGGTCAGGGATGCCAGTTGGAAGCACTCTCAGCCTTTGACAGCTTAGTGTCAACTACACTTATGTGGCTAGGTAGGTGCAGAGAGCCAAAGTCTGCTCTTTTCACTGATCCTGTGTGGTTTATTTTCTTTCCTCTTGACTGTCTAGTTTCATGCAATAAGTCAGAGCCTTGCAAGGTTACAAAAAAACAAAACAAAAAACCCTACCCATTATTAATCAGATTGTTTGCTTTTTTCGTGTTGATTTATGTAAATTACTTACATATTTAGGATATTAACCCCTTATTGGATTTATCATTCGCAAATATCTTACCCCATTCAGTAGATTGCCTTTTTCATTCTGTTGATGGTTTCCTTGACTGTGCAAAAGCTTTTTATTTTGGTGTACTCCCAATAGTTTATTTTTTATTTTCTTTCCCTTGCCTCAGGAGACATCTAGAAGAATGTTGCTACAGCCAATGTCAAATAAATTACTGCCTTTGTTTTTTTCTAGGAGTTTATGGTTTCAGGTTTCACATTTAGGTATTTAATCCATTTTTTTTGAGAGAGAGAGAGAGAGAGTGATTGAGAGAGAAAGAGAGAGAGAGAGAGAGAAAAGAGAATGAACGGAGAAGGAGAAGGGGTGGAGTGAGGTACAAAATCTTAATCAGGCTTTACACCCAGTACAGAGCCTGACAAGGGACTCACTCAGTCCCATACCCTTGAGATCATGACCTGGGCCTTAAATCAAGAGTCAGATGCTTAACTGACTGAGTCACCCAAGTGCCTCTCTTTAATCCATTTTGAGTTTATCTTTTGTCTATGGTGTTAGAAAGTGGTCCATTTTCATTTTTTTTTACATGTAGCTGTCCAGTTTTCCCAGCACTGTTTATTGAAGAGACTTTTCCCCATTGTCTATTCTTGCCTCTTTTATTGTAGATTAATTGGCCATAAAAGCATGTGTTTATTACTGGGCTCTCTGTTTTGTTCCATTGATTTATGTGTTTATTTTTATGCCAATACCATGCTGTTTTGATTGCTGTAGATTTGTGTTATATCTTGAAACCTAGAATTATGATATCCTCAGTTTTGTTCATCTTTCTCAAGATCACTTTGGCCATTTGAGGTCTCTTGTGGCTTCATACAAATTTTAGTATTATTTGTTCTATTTCTGTGAAAGATGCTGTTGCTATTTTGATAGGGTTGCATTAAATCTATAGATGACTTTGGGAAGTATGGACATTTTAATAATATTTGTTCTCCCATTTCATGAGCATGGAATATCTTTCCATTTATTTGTGTCATCTTCAGTTTCTTCATCAATATCTTCTAGTTTTCAGAGTATACGTCTTTTAGTTAAGTTTATTTCTCAGTATTCTTTTTGGTGCAATTATAAATGAAATTCTTTTCATAATTTCTTTCTTGCTACTTCCTTATTAGCGTATAGAAACACAACCAATTAAAGGAATAATCCAATTAAAAAATGGACAGAGGGCCGGAACAGACATTTTCCCAAAGAACTACAGATGGCCAACAGATACATGAAAAGAAGCTCAACATCATTAATCATCAGAGAAATGCAAATCAAAACCACAATGAGATATTACCCTACACCTGTCAGAATGGCTAGAATCAAAAAGCCTAGAAATAACAAGTGTTGACAAGGATGTGGAGAAAAAGGAACCCTTGTGCACTGTTGGTTGGAATGGAAATTAGTACAGCCACTGTGAGAAAACAGTATGGAAGTTCCTCAAAAGATTAAAAATAGAACCATTTAATCCAATAGTTCCACTGCTGGGCATTTACTGAAAGAAAATGAAAAAAAATCTGATTTAGGATTGGGGATGATGCTGGGCATTTAGGACCTCATGCTCCAGCTCTGTTTTGAACAGAATTCTGTATTGGGTTTGAGTCTTTGAGAATAGGTGCAGCTAATAAAAAAAAGCAACACTGTGATTTCTCCTTGGCTGTTCCCTTTTTAAACCCATAGTGGCAGTAATAGTGGGTATGCTAATTAACAGGGAAGAATTAGATCATTTCAAGGTCTTGGGTATAATAATCAAAATATTTCCAAACCTCACTACTAACTTGATGTTCCCTGACTTCATAATCTCTAACTTGTTCTACTTCAGTATAACACAGAAGCTAAAGTTGGAATTTGCTTATCCAGGGTAATATGTGACATGAATATATTAAAAACCTCAGGTGTCTACCCTGTCTCTTTATTTTATCCAGACCACCTTTCATTTGCTATCCTGATACACAGCCTCTCTCTATGACTTGGAAGGCAATCTCTTTGGGTAGCCTGGCTGTAATGACTCATTTTGGACATACTTCTCTTGCTTAGCCTCAGCAGTCAGTGTCAGCCAAAGTTCTGGCATTCACCTTCTCATCCTAGAAATAAAGACTTTAAATAAATGAGTGTCTAATTCTAGCTCCCAACCAGAGGGATGTTTGTAAGCCCACTCACTTCTTGATTTCTTGTTCTTTCTATAGAACTGAGATGGATATTTACATTGTCAAGCCATGTGTCTCTAGTTTGGGTCCAGAAGAGAGAATCTATATACATTAAGGACCATTGCTGGATTCCCCGTGTGCAGATCCTTAGAACTATTCATTTTTATTTTTTAATTTTTTTTCTTAAAGAGTTTATTGTCAAGTTGGTTTACATATAACACCCAGTGCTCATCCCAACAAATGCCCTCCTCCATGTCCACCACCCCCCTTCCCCTCTCCTCCACCCCCATCAGCCCTCAGTTCTCAGCATTCAAGAGTCTCTCATGGTTTGCCTCCCTCTGTCTCCCCAACTATTTTCCCCTTTCTTCTCTCACATTGTCCTCCGCTAACTTCTTCCTAATCCACCTGTATGTGCAAACATAGTATTTGTCCTTCTCTGCCTGACTTATTTCACTCAGCATAACACCCTCTAGTTCCATCCATGTTGCTAGACATGGCCAGATTTCATTCTTTCTCATTGCCATGTAGTATTCCATTGTATAAATATACCACATCTTCTTGATCCATTCATCAGTTGATGGACACTTAGGTTCTTTCCATGTTTTGGCTATTGTGAGTGCTGCTATGAACATTGGGGTACATGTGCCCCTATGCATCGGCACTCCTGCATCCCTTGGGTAAATTCCTAGCAGTGCTACTGCTGGGTCATAAGGGAGTTCTATTGTTAATTTTTTGAGGAACCTCCACACTGTTTTCCAGAGGGGTTGCACCAGCTTACGTTACCACCAACAGTGTATGGAGGTACCCATTTCTCCACATCCTCACCAGGATCTAGAGTCTCCTGATTTGTTCATTTTCGCCACTCTGACTGGTGTGAGGTTGAACAGATCAATGAAACCAAGAGTTGGTTTTTTGAAAAAATTAAAAAAATTAACAAACCTCTAGCCAAGCTTCTCAGAAAGAAAAGAGAGAGCACCCAAATAGACAAAATCATGACTGAAAAAGGACTTATTACAACCAACCCCTCAGAAATACAAGCAATTATCAGGGAATGGTATGAAAAATTATATGCCAACAAACTAGACAACTTAGAAGAAATGGACAAATTCCTAAACACACACTCACTATGAAAATTCACACGGGAAGAAATAGAAAATCTGAACAGACCCATAACTAGTGAGGAAATTGATTCAGTTATCAAAAATCTCCCAACAAATAAGAGCCCTGGACCTGATGGCTTCCCTGGGGAATTCTACCAGATATTTAAAACAGAATTAATACCCATTCTTCTCAAGCTATTCCAAAAAATATTAATGGAAGGAAGACTTCCGGACTCATTTTATGAAGCCAGCATCACTTTGATTCCCAAGCCAGACAGAAACCCAGCAAAAAAAAAAACAAAAAACAAAAAACAAAACAAAACAAAAAAAACCCCAACTATTCATATTTAAAAGTGACCAAGACATTTGCTTGGTTTCATTTGAGTGGGGTCATGAAAAAAGATCTCCAGGTCCAGCTGCATATAAAATTGTCTTGGAGCCAAAATTCACTCACTTTATAATTTGGGGATGGTTCTTTTTCTTATAATAGAAATGCTCTCCTTTAAGAATGCTGCTGTCTTCTGTCCCCGAGGATACCCCTTCTGGGCTTTCCTCTGCAGTGTTTGTTC